ATGTAAGTAAAAGCTTCAATTTGAATGTATTTAATTTTTCTTAGCAAAACCAAGAAGACTCCTACCAGAGAAGTGGAGTTGTTTACATACATATGGCAATTTATTTTCGTTCAAATACGTTTGGTTGTTGCAAAAATTCTTCTTGCCGTTCGACAACACCTGAGACTCTGAACTCTCTGAACTAAGTGCTGTTATTTAAACTATTACAACAACACACTTCGGGTTGAACTTTAAGCTTGCTCAAAGTTGGAAAATTTATTTTTGCGGTTAAAAGAGAGCAACAGCTTCTCAAAGCTTAGTATGTTTTTCTCTCTCATTTGTAAAATGTTACTCATACGCAATGCTATGCGAAAAAGGAGCAATTAAGACCAATAGCTATAGATTTATACCAATGGTTATAGTTCCACTTGATTAAAAAAAAAAAAACAAAAAACATACAATTTTTTAAATTTTTATCGCCTTAAAGCGCTACACACTTTCTTTCGTATGAATTAAAAAAGAAAAGAAAAGATATATAGAAACCGTTAAGCCGTTATGTAATATAATATATTTTTATTATTCCAATAGCAGAACCAAAATGTATGTAAGTGTGTATGATTAATGAATTAGCATTGAAAGCCATATTATTTATGTTAGGTATGCGTAAGGTGAAAGAAGTTTGAAAAGTAACAGCAACAACAAGAACAATATACCTAAAAATCAATGAACTTGGAAAAAAATGTAAGCAGGAAACGGAAACTATAATAGCATATAAAATAGCAAGTCGTATGCCATCACATACATACAAATGTGTGCAGTTGTATGCAATAAAATATACAAGTAAAAAATATACGAAAATTGTTAGTTAGTAATGAAAGTAAAGAGAAAACAAAATAAATGTGCATAAAGATGATGGACGGGAAAGGTATTAGAATGACGAATTGCCACTAGAGATGTAAATTCTAGAGTAACATACTTACAAATATATGTATGTTTGTATGTATTTTACTCTTACATTAACTTGTAGGCTTAAATCCATTGTTATTTATTATTATAACTAATATTTATATATATGTAAATATATATATATAAATATATATATATACATATATACAATATAATATATTGATAATATAATATATTAAAATAAAATCAATAAGAAAACGAAAAAGAAATATACACAAAAATATCAACTAAATAAATTAAATATTAAATAAATATTTATGCAAGCAAACACACACATACCATACATACAATTACATAACATATTCTTATTTAATTAATTTACATACAGATAATACCTATATTACTCACGTACAACACAATACATACGCTGTTATATATGTAGGCCGCCTCTAATGACGAATAATGTGTAAAGTGAAGCGTTGATAAATATGTACGTTAAGGCAAAAGCAAATAATAATATAAACATAGGTACATATAATTAGAAAACACACATACACATACACACAAAACATCCAACTATATATATATACACACATATACTCATATATATATATATAGAGACATAATTACAATGTATGGTAATCGTCTGTAGCAGCAGTGATTGTTAAATTGCTTTGTTTGTTTGTATTAGATTTTATAATTTATAAAAATACTTAATTATAATAATAACAATAAATAATAATAATAATAATAATACAGCAAAAAAAAAAGATGATGAAAACAGAATGACTGATAAATCGCAAACAAAATAAAAGTACATTTAAAAATAAATAAATAAATAATATTTATTGAAAATGTTGTTGTTTTTTCAGACTTAAGGCCCTACATTGGTAAGTGTGATTTGGGCGTTCATGCGTTCATGTTAATGGTCAACTTGTATGCAATTTTTCAGCTTTAGTTAATGAGATTGCGTACATATGTACATACATATATCCATATATATGCTCCATTGTGCTAGTCTTCCTAATATAAAAAACCATTAAAAAACTTAGCATCTTAATCGAAAAGAAAAACTCTTTGGAATGAGGCAAAATTAAAAATGATTTTAATAATTTCAATTTAGGTCCACCGAATAATAAGTTGTACAGAAACTTTGAGATCTAGTCGCTCGATTTCATTTACTTTCACTTTTCACTCACACTATATGTGCGGGCCTAAAGTTTATTACAAGCCGCCTCCGAACGGCCGATAAATTTGTATGGGGGGCTTTGCACTTCATGTCACAAGTACACTCTTAGGATTCAACATTCCTTGCCGCGGGATGAACGCGATTCTATATTGGATATAATAATTGGATGTTTGGTCAGACCTTTCAGTGACATCAACTGTTGTCTACAACAGTGGGTTTTAGATGGACACTTAAGATTGTTATGAATACCCAATGTAGGATATACCATGAAATATCTGTCGGGCAGGATCGACTGGAAACCGACCAAACTGTTACTAACACTAAGCAAACTTACATAGTAACCTTTTAGGTAGGTGTATTGAAGGTGCAACTACCTTGGAAATTTCATCTTCAAAAAAGTAGTTAAGGTTGAATCTGCTGAGTGCAGAGCATGCACAGAAGAGGACAAACCCAACAGTCTGCCTGTCTTAGTCTGGCCGACTTTCAGACAAATGAGGCATCAGATCTTCAACGATGCTCTCAGTACCATCAAATTTGTCAAATCAAGCAAATTGTTCGATAACACAGAGTTGGGTTAAATCGGAGAGCAGAATGAGCTTACTCTGTTTCTTAAATGCGACTCAAATTAAATCATATTCAACCAATCATCAAATTGTATATTTCTTCAGAGAGAGACGTAAACTCCTCTCAAAAATCAAGCTTTAAAAATCGCTCACCAGTTCCCTCCTACTGCATGCCGCAGAATTATTGATAATGCCAATATTCAATTGGCGCGGAGCTGCAGGAACGAGTGGTCGGTCAATTGCTTACTTGGCTATGGTGAACAGATTCAACCGGAATGAGAACTGCGTATAAATAATTTTGTAAATATATAATATTTTATTATTTGCTTGGTATAGCATAATTAGAGCCTTGACTTAACTTGAAAACCTGTTTTGTGATGAAATATTTTACAAATTTAGCTCAAATATTTATTGTTGTCGAAGGCAGCTTCTTATTTTCCGTATCTTTTTATAATTGACCTCTATTGCCTTTCCCAAGTGGCCATTGATGTGATGCGGCTAAAGGACATTGGAAATCCGCTCCTTATGAAGTGAGAGGTACGTGAGATACCTATTAGATTTTTTATACTGCACCCTTCGGTTGACAAAACAACAAGACGAAGTCTTTGTAAACTACCAAGCATCAGCACAATGCTTAATTTCTATAGGGAAGATATTCAAGGGGTTATTACAAGCCTCTAAATCCATTAGTCTCGACGGAAAACCATACTGCTGGGAGCAGACTACCTTAACTTGCGTGCGAATCGTGCTGGTAGCACTGGACACCGTCAACAATTCAGTAATACTATCGGATATTGAGAATTCCTCATCTACGCCGAGGTTGAAGAGATGGACTATGAACTACCTGAGTGGTGAGTGGTCGACAGTCATCATTAGAGTTTCAAGGACAAACTTCTTAGCTCCATAGAATTGAACAAGAGGTTCCGCCAAGTGGTATCCTCTACTAACTTCTCTTTAACTTTTACATTTCCAAGCTCTCTCCGCCACCAGTGAGCGTTTTCTTGATCTCATATGCCGATGAGTACTCGATATTGATAACGTACGTTTGAAAGTAAATTGCTATCTTGCCAACCTTTCCCACTACTTCATTGCACGTCATTTATTATACAATTATACTAAAACCTATGAAATCTTCGTCTACCCTTTTCACCAGCTGAACGAAGAAGTATCCTGTGAAAGAAGTATCGATGACGTAAAAATTCTGACAAACAAATAACCCAAAGTTAATGGGAGTCTTATTCGTTAACCTTCACCGTGCTTCGACTGCAATTGCCGCAAAGTACAGAGCCGGCAACACCTGGGGTAATGACAAAAATTATCTGTAGGAATGCTACCGTTGGAAGAAAACGGCGTATCGACAGGCTTTGAAGGCCATTTACCGAGACTTCATCAATACCTGTGTATAACGAGCTCGAGCTGTCACGAGCAATTCGAGTAATACGGAAATAATAAATTCCTGAATATTTTAGTATACTTAATTCGTACCCTTTTTTCCCTTTGGTCCGAAACCGTAGAAAAAGCCGGTTTCTTGGATCTCCTGTTAGATGATCTCGATGACTTAAACCAGTCTCACCAGTTATTAATCGGGATTGGCGAACTGCTTAAAAATACATTTAATTTTTGATCTGAATCGGATTTTTTGTTCGTCCTCTCATCTATCTGTTCGTTAACAGTGCAATTGGTGGAAAGGAATATGAATTTATGGAATAAGTTGCAGGAGGAATATTCTGCAGGAATTCCCCAAGAATCAAAGTTTTACTCTTATAATTTATGCGAGGTTAAAATCAGTTTCAGCAACGACCTAACGGGTCAATGACTGTCACTCCCGCAATATTCCCTGAAAACACATTTGAGGAATATTTTTGCGGTTTCTACTACTACAACAGAAACAAAAGGCATTATTTACACAAAATTATTTAATGAAATTATTATAACATTGTTAACTAATATTAAAAATTAATATTCGCAATAGTTTTATCTTATTTGTTTTTTTTTTTTAATTTTCTGGAAAAGTTAAAAATATATTTTCAAAGAATTAAATTAATTTGATTCCGTAGAAGGTATAAAAAACTCTCATCTTTTATCAACCTTACGGTAGGTACCAAATGAAAATGAGAATAAAATGAAAATTACAAAAAAAAAAACAATAACAAAACACTACTGTAAGTTAATGCAATCGGGCTTTGTTTATCATATGTATATATACATACTTATATATACTTAAACAGGTGTATTCATGTTTCGTTGGTTGCAATCACATTTGCGCGCTGATAAGACATATAATGAGGTAAACAACAACAACTAGTGTATTTATTTATACTCAAGCACTTGACATTGTGTTTTTGGCGAGCGAGTGATCGACTGATGCGTAGTCAAGTGGGGGAATTTCAGTCACTAATAAATACTCGCCGAGAGTGGTTTGGCGTTCAGTTAAATTTTTTTTCTCAATTGTTTACATAAATAAACTGATTTTAACATTTTTATACTAAAATGCAATTCGTTGCAACTGGTAAGCTACCGCCGCTGAAATTATAAGCAAACACAGTATATTTTCCATATATGTACATACATGTACACTTACTTACAATCAATTGCATACATGTAGAACATCCACATCGCCGTTTAAACCCTTTGACTGGTCACTGGGTGTTGGTGAGTCCACATCGTATGCTAAGGCCATGGACGGGACAACAGGAGGCTCCACAAAAAAGCAATATACCTGATTTCGATCCGACAAACCCTTTAAGTCCAGGCGTGGCACGACCAAATGGCACGGTATGCAATTGGTGTTATACATACATACAGAAGAGGAATCTTTGTGTATTATTGTTTCTCTATAGGTAAATCCAGCATATACCGGTACCTTTGTATTCACGAATGACTTCCCGGCTTTGATGGAGAACAATCCGGTGCCACCAGCTTCCGATGATCCACTCTTCCAGGTGTCAGAGGCGAGGGGTACTTGTCGAGTAATGTGCTTTCATCCGAAATCGAATGTGACACTGCCACAAATGACTGTAGCCGAAATAACTGCTGTTATAGAGGAGTGTGTGATATATTTACATACATACATATGTAGTATCTGCAATCACGTATTTACTTTTTAATTTTGTAGATGGATCAAACAGTTCAATGAACTGAGTAAAAAATTTCTTTGGGTGCAGGTATTTGAAAATAAGGGTGCTGCTATGGGCTGCTCCAATCCCCATCCACACTGTCAAATTTGGTGTTGTTCATTTTTGCCCACCGAACCACTCATTAAGGACGAACGTTTGCGCAGCTATTACAACCAGTATGGTAGACCATTGTTGGCCGATTATGTGAAGCGAGAAGTGGAGCGCAAAGAACGTATTGTTGTTGAGAATCCCGACTGGTTAGTGGTGGTACCATTTTGGGCCGCGTGGCCATTTGAGACATTGCTGTTATCACGTAATGATAATAAACGCATCAACGATGTAACACCAGCACAGCGTGAGAATTTAGCTAAAGTTATCAAAGAGTTAACAATCAAGTACGATAATCTATTTCAATGCTCGTTTCCATATTCGATGGGCTTTCATGGTGCACCGACTGGAGAAGCGGCTGCCGCTGATGTATCACATTGGACGCTGCATGCGCTTTACTACCCGCCACTGTTGCGTTCTGCTTCAGTACGTAAATTTATGGTTGGATTTGAGTTGTTAAATGAGGCGCAGCGTGATTTGACACCAGAGCAAGCGGCACAACGCTTACGGGAAATTGATGGTGTACGACATTATACGGAAAATTAGTTAAAATGAAATTGTAAATGCAGCGAGACGTTACCACTGGTAGAGATGAACACAGCTTAGATATGGATACTGCCACCTTAGCAAAGGGTCTATTAGAAGTACAGGAATTGCGTTTGCTCACTCAAATTGTGTACACATATTTATAATGTGATTACGAGCCATTTATCAAAATGATGTTGATAAAAATAATTACAGTTTTAATCAAAGAGTTTAAAAAATGTATCAACATTTAAATGTACAAACCAAAGAAAAGTACAACAATAAAAACAATATAATTGATTATAATGAATATTCAATTACAATATTTATTGTTACATATTCGTACATAGAAAGCGTATATATGCGTGTATAATGTAAATTTAATTTAACCTACTATCTAAAAGTCTATCTTAGATTTGAGTATATGTATGTACGTACTATTGAAAACATTATATGCACAACTCTGTTCTTGTATTATTTGAATATTTTTTTTAATTTAAACTCGTAGACATCAATTGCTATAATATTATAGCCAAAAACCACCATAACAATTTATAACATTTCAATGAACGCTTTAACTAACAAAGCTACAACAAATACACGATTGTAATACATACATTAGTTAATAACGCAACAAATACCAGGCGTATAAAATACTTCATATTCTTGGATCAATTCTATATTAATGAAAAGTAGATTACTTGGGAAAATACATCATATATTTATATATGTTTCCAATATATAGTCAAAGTCCATGGTTATAACGGCACAATTGCCTATTTGAGCATCCATAATTCAAAACCAATTTACCTAAAGTTCCTTAAGTAAAATCTTAGAATTTTTTCATAACAGCTCGACTTTCCAATGCTTGCATTTCACTAAGCAGTAAAGCAACATTATAGCGCAGCTGATGAAACATAGATAGCGGAAACTCTAAGGTGCGATATCGGCCATCGGGTAGTTGAAAGTGTAAAATGATTGTGGGAGCATTTACACTGCCATTACAAGTGCTATAAAGAACGCAAAAAAAAAAATTAACAATAAGTACAAACCAAAGCAAAAGTTTACACACCCCTCGCCCAATGATATGTTTATGCGCCATTGCATATTTTTTGGTTTAGAACGCGATGTTTTGGCCTCAATAAAATTCTTTGTCAACGAGGCACGATGGTTATACAGTACTTTGCTTAGATCCTCCACGCATTCATCTGTAAATCTTTGTAGTAAGAAATAATATTAGTATGCAAACAATGAAGTCTTCGCTGATTCCTCACCTCAGTTCCTTCAGACAGTCTCTTAGTTCATGATCTTTAACAATACCCTTTGGTGTACGCAAAAAAATTTGCATTATTTGTAATACAGCAGCGAATAATTCACAAAAGTTATCTGGTATATCGTGGCCGGAATGCGTAAGTTTAGTCAACTCCAAGTCTAATTCCTCCGGCGAACACTTTGAACTCTCAAGATAGTGTACCGAAACTTTGATAAGTACCCGAAGTACTGGCTTAGTTAATTGGGGAAAATATTTAACATAGGGTCGTACGGTACGCACCATGGTGTATCGAAAATTCGAGGACATTTTGTTTGACCAGTCACTTTTTTTTACGTTAATAAATTTTAATAAAATGCAACCAATTTATTTGTTTTGTACATAAACCAGCTGTTTGATGGGCGTAGCAAGTTGCCGGACTGCTTCTAAATAGAATTTCTCATTATCAGAGACGCAAACCTGACTTGGTAATGGCTCGTCTACAATAACAATAACTATCGGAAGGCAATATTTCACGCAATAACACATCGTAAGAAGTTTTAAGAAAAATGAAATGTTTGTCTTGTAGCATTATAGGTAAATATTTATAGTTAACACAGAGCCTTATTTCAATAATTATAATATAAGGTGGAAAATATCTGATCTGTTTGCGCCTTCCTATCCACGCTCCATTGCTGAGTTAGGGGTTTGGCGTCTGCCAAGCGTCAGGTGCCTCCTATGGCATTAGGTAAAGACAATTTTTTACACAAGCTTAATGCTCAGCTTAAATACATTTCACATTCTTCCCTACCAGCTTAGACATTCTGGTTTCAAAAATGTTTTCTAGTTTCACTTTATTTGTCAATATGCCGGCACCAGCAAATACTCCTTTTCGAAAAAAGATGATTGAAACACCAAATTGAATTGATTGTTTAAGTATTTCTATTTCTATTTTCTATCCCAAAACTATGTTCGACTGAACGAAGCTATTCAAAGATGTTCAATACATACATAAGAGTCGGTTTTAGAGATCCTGGGAATATTTATTCATTTCAATAATCGAGTTCAAATAAATTCAGGCTTCACATTAGGACCCAAAAGACTCGATAAATTTCATCAAGAACTTAGAGGATTCCACACTGGAAGACCAAACGAACATATTGGAAACATCATTTTCGCCACTACTCAAACCACTGACGATCATGAAATCTTAAAGGCCGCGGTAGCCGAGTGGTTAGCATTTCATACTGATATTCGGAAGGTTGGGGCTCATATCTGAGTGTATTTATGGCATGAAATAATGCTCCTTATAAAAGCCATCAGCCGTTCGGAGGTGGCTCAACATAAACTGTAGGTGCCTCCATTTATTGGAAAGAAAATCAAGAGGCAAAAACCACATATTGAAGGAGGAGATCGGCCGAAAATCGCTTCAGCAGTTACAAAGTGCCAATATATGTATATCTATAGATATAATGTTTTAAAAAACAAGCTCTGTACATACATATTTATGTAGCTACCAACTCTAAGCTAACAAGACGAAAAAAGGGTGTGACCCTCGCTTCAAGTATGAGTACTTTCACTAAAAGCTCTCTCACAGACAAGTCATTTTTGCTCACATCTTGTTGTTGTTAACCTTTTTTAAAGTAATTATAATAGAAAAAAGAGGAAGTGCTTCCCGAACATTTCATATATGTTTTTCAAAAAATCTTTACCCAAAAACTAAAGCGTAGACAGTAAAAATCGCAGTTGCACCAAATGCCAAGTTCAATATCATTTATTTACAATTGAAAGACGAGGGCATTCCATTTACGTACTTAAACGAATGGCGTACAAACCTACATACGCTACATACATTCATACCTACATATATAGGTTGCACATGCTATGTGATGTGGCTTTGTATGTATATATTCACCGCCACAAGTTTTATTTATGCGAATTAGTAGTTATTTTTAGGCAAAAACATCGCTATCATTCAAGCACACATCTCGATCAAGTGCAACATATATATGCTAAGGCTGCAATATCTCCCCCGACTTTTCATGTTTTTATGTTGTACTCTCCAAAAAGATTATTATTGTATTATCTGTGCAAGTACTTCGCACACAAATGCGCTCTCGTAGAGCACGCACACACATAACGTACGCAGAGGTGCATCTCAGCTTTTTATGCTCCTAATTTGGCTTTAGCGCGCGCTCTGTGTACTGGACTGAGACTACCTGAAGCGTAAGCGGTAGCACATATAACAAGCTATTGTTGCCGCTTGGCGCATGATGTCTGCGCTCTGCAGCGCTGCTGATGTTCGCAACAAAACATACGACCGAATGATCCACCGACCGGCCGAGGCAGTTACGAAGCAAGCCACCACATCACTTGCCGCTACCATTAACGGCCGTTAATGCTGCTGCTGCTCGGCTATGCTCTTGCCACCAGTCACCAGCAACCACAGCCGCCACTTGTAAGTATGCGCGCGTCAGCGAACTCTGCTGTCCCGTCTCGTTTGTTGTACAATTGAATAGGTAGGTAAAGAGCTCAAATGTTTCGTATTCGTACCGAATCGGCTCACGTATAGCCCATATAGTGTGCCACACTCAGCTTGTTGGCTCATCTCGCCAATTGGTCTCAGTCAGTTCTTGGTGAACCGTTCGTTGTGCTGGTCGTGTACCGTAGTTAACGCTGCCGTTGTTGTGTTTAAATTCACTTACAACTACACTTCTTTACTGCCATATAGTAAAACAAAAAAAAAAAAAACAAAACAAAAAAAACTTGTTCCGTGTGTGTGTGTGTAGCTTTGTGTCTTACAGTAGTAGTCGTTGTAGCCGTTGTTTGTCGAAATTGTTGGTCCGCGTTGTATCATCTAGTACAGGTTTAGCCTTAGCCTCGACTTGAGGGTGTGCTTCATACAAAGAAGTGTTAGTGTGTTTTGGTAATTATATTTATATATGTATGCATTATATGTATGAAGCAGTACTTGTAAGTGTGTGATTGTGTCTCTCTGTGTTTCATAGTCTGTTTGTGCAACGGATAATTGGAAATCTTCGAAAAAGTCAAATAAAACGAAACTCCACACTTGCCAGCTAAGCGACCGCGCTAATCTTAGGTACCTGTCTAAGGTCTAAGCTCTGAGGTGCTTGCTGCTGCTACTGCTACCGCCACATACAAATTACTCTGCCAGTCATATTGCTCAATTATTGATTTTGCATTTGATGACTCTGTGTGGCACAGCAACTTTTGGAGATTTTTTCGTTATTTTGAGTCATAAGCTAAAAAACAGTTGGCTGAAAAACACTTGCGAATTCGAAGCGATAAAATTTAAAGCTCTTAGTAAGCTGAAGAAAACTTGAAAGACAGCCGAAACAGAGCTTAAATTAACGGATGACAAGCTGTCAAATGCGTCCATGCAACGTGGTGTGTTGGATGAGTTGTGGCGAGAAGAGGTGTGGCGTGCGAATTTGAGCGTTTAAAGAATGTGTTACTTAATTTTGTATTTCTTTTTCGTCTTCAATTCAAAATGTCCGTAAAGCAAGGCGTATGAAGTAGCTAAGAAAAACACTTGCTACTGTGTGAACATACATACATACATACATACATACAACGTTGTTTGCACAAATGTGTGTAATATACAGCACAGAAGCACATAACAGAATAATGAAAACATCAGCAATAACTTGAGACTCGAGACCAGCAGCAGCAGCAGCAGCAGCAGCTCAAGCAGTCGATGTCTCGAAGTTGGTTGTGAAAAGCTAACAAAATGAATATGCATACCTACATACATACATACATATATACATACACGTTAAAGCCACAAAAGCAACAACAATTGCGTAATTGTTTCATTTTAGATTCAGTGAAAACCGTCATGGTGGTGCAATATTTAAGCAAGTTGTTTTTTACTACATACCTTCATATCTACCTATATATTTGGTTTCAAAAATTCCAATTATATAAACGGAACGCCGAAGAATTTGAGTAAATTGGTTAAACACTTCACAAGTCACACGAGGGTGGGGTGGTGAAGGGAAGCCCTAGCAAAATTGCAAGCCAGTTCACTGTGCATATACATGCATACTTACATATATACTCGTAAATAGACGTGTCTGTGTTTATGTATTTGTGCTTGTTTTTGCACACATTACACAAGGATATGCGCCTATGACGTTAGTGACATAACATCGTAATTATAGAATGAAAGGAAAAAATGGGCGAAATCCTTGAATAACAATTTTAAGGGATGCGTACGCGCATTGAAGGGCGCTGAAATGAAATTCAAAGGAAAACGGCCATAAACTCAAAGAAGTGGGAGCAATGAAATAGAAAATATATACAAACAAACATACATAAATATACTCGTATGAGTAGTGAGAGCGTAAGGAATGGCGGTGACATAATAAACTGCCATTTATACTGCTGTTATCGTCTTGTTGCACGCGTCCTTAGCATACATAATAAGCGTGCATTCAATTGAATTGAAATTGTCAAGCACAGTAGCACTACCACCACCGGATGACCGCGGCTCGCGTCGGGGATGCCTTGAATACACAGGCATATCTTTCTATGTGCCAGTTTTATCTACTGCCGCATCTTCTTCTTCTTCTTCATATTTTCAACTTTACTTAATAGCTTTATGCGCTCCACTTGTTTGCTTGATTGGAACAAATGTCAATCAATTGCGAAACCGATAACAAAATTCGCCAGTACCCTTGGGCGTTTATGGTCGGTTGGACCACCCAGTGAGTGTAGATTTGCGTTCGCCCTGACAATCTGTTTTATCGCTTCCGTTGCGAGTCACTGTAAGGGACCACCCCCAAACTGTCGACTTTTTTTTTTTGTAAAATTGGCAGACAGACAGTGTTTTATTTTTATAAAAAAAAAAAAGTTTAACTAAAAAATAAGGTTTTTTGAAGAAAGTTTTTTTTGAAAAAAAATAATAATAAATAAAAAAATAATAATTATATGGGCTAATGTATATTAAATTAAGGTTATCGTTAATAAGGTTATCGTTATAAAAATTGTTAATAAATTAAATTCAATTATAATATTAATAATTAGCTTCCTCACTGTTCTGTTCGGCATTATGTCGATGTATACTCAAAAATAAGTTTAAAAGAATTTAATTTTTTTATAAGGATTTTTAAAAAGTCAAAGTGGGCGCAGATTTGGTTTCATGATATCAGTAGTTTTACTCGGGACTAGCTTTCCCTGTCGTTTGCTACCATTTTACCAAACTTTCAAATTTCTGACAACAAAAACTTAATTGAAGAACAACGGGTGAGCGGCCATAATATAGAGACAAATAAGGAAGTTGTATGAAAGGCAAATCTGGACCTATGTCAGCCATTTCCGATTTAGTTCTCATTTAAGGAAAATAAATATTAAGTTTTCATTGTTTAAATATTCGAATTTTTTTAATATTTAAATATTCGTATTTCAGTCTCGTGAGGGTAGAAAGTAAGAAAGTCTAATATAGCGAATACACGCATATTTAGTTCGAACTCTATTTATAAATTTTTACCAAACTCTTTCCTCTGCCCCGTGGTTACTGGGGTTACTCTTTAACCTAAACTATATTTTTAATCCATTTAATGCCAACGTCCTTTCAAATAAGACTATAATTACTCATTTAGTAGGTAAATTATAGTCCTTTCAAAATTACTGTTATATGGGAGGTGGACGTGAATTCGAACCGATTTTCACTAATTTCCAATAGCATTCGTACTTGTTACCCAAGGTTACATATTCCAAGTTACAACAAAATATGTTAGTTATTACTTGAATTATGGTGCATACGGGCGGACGGTAACACAGACGTACGGACAGTCATGGCAAAACAGCTTTGTATTGTATTATATACTCTGCTGTATACATTCTACTGAAATCTACTAATCGATTTTCTAGTTACAACGACTCCTAATTAAAAAAAGATTTTTTTGCACCATAAGAAAGCCCTTTTCCGAATAACTCGAAAAGTCGGATTCACTTGAAATTTTTAGATAGTATTTTTGAGATATCGAAATGGTGGTGTGCGTCTGAATACACCTTTTTATGTTGGTCAGACCAGGAATCGAAATTTAGCTTTCCGATGACAGTGCTCAATGTAAATTTCTAGGTGATTGCGGCCATCAAAAGATATCAGATGATGATGTACAGAAAAATATATTTTTCTTTAAATCTATGATGTTTTTTTCACACCAAGACTCTGTGGCCACTATCAAAAATTATAAAGAAAAAAAATTTAATGTTGTAAAGCGATTAGCGCAAAGTGCATACCCTCCAATAACATTCCCATTATTTTCACAAAATTATTAAATATTACTCAATGTATTGTACACCTCAGACTAAGTCTTTAGAAGATAGAAACATTTTTCGTTACAACTCAGTATTTTATAGTATTATTAGTGCCGGATGAAATATCGGAATTTCAGAAATCCGTTATCGACTGTCCTATTGTTCAAACTCCGATGTATTCGCCTTCAAATTATTTCCCAAAGTCTTTATGGAACTGTAAACATCTTTGCAGTATAGATTTCAAAAACTTGGAAAACGAGCAACCGATAGCTTTGACTCAATTTCTGATGGGCAAAACATTTTATGAATTTTCTTCGAATTTGGGACTACCTCCTTTTCTGTGAACTATCAAAACGGTAATTCACGAAGATAGATTGTCAAATTTGACTTCAATACAATTCCTATTAATTATACGAAAATTTTGCCAAATTATTGTTGCTATAGTTAAAATAGACAAAAATTCTATATATATGTGTATACTTTATGTATGAACTCACGTTTTTTAAATAGGTCACGTAATGAAAAAATATACTTTTTTGCGAGTTAAAGATAATGGGAAAAATATTTCGATTGCGATTAAATAGTCAGCGAATTATTCAGCTCTTAAAATATGCTTTGAATTTAGTAAAGAAAAAAATAAAATCACGTTTGAAAATTGAAAAAATGTACATCCGTTTTGCTCGACCGCACCACACTGTGCGCGCACCATCATCCGCCACCCTGTCCACAAGCGCAGTTGCTTATGTAAGCACGAATGTCAGACTACTGATTTGCACAAATTCGCAGATGGTTTTGAGCGCATTTATTGGCAATTGTCAAATTTTACCGTGACTGCATTTACTGTACTATGCGATATTACTCTTGCCACCCCCTCGAGCGATACCAAATTGTTTGTGTGCCTGTTTATGAGCGAGTGAATGTGTTTTAATGTACTGCAATATACTGCTATTAGCGAAAAGACATCGAGATATAATATAAACTCAATATGGATTGTAATTTGTTATAAGCGCGCGGCAGATCGCCTATCGATAGGCTATATAATTTATTCGTAAGGAAACTTTTGATGTAAATCAAGTGACTCAGTGGCAGATATACGTGTATAATAGTGTTGAAAATAAAAAACATTTTTGTTTGTGTATATAAATCTAATAAATCGTTCGTTTTTATTGCATTTCAAATCTTCGTCGCCAACCTGCTGACATTTGCCAACATCAATCAAAAAAAAAAAAACAAAAAAAAAAACGAAATAACGAAATATTCATATCAACGCTGACGTTGCTGTAATTGTTCTACATACATACATACACACTTATGTAAACGACCCCTTCTGCTCAATGCAGTAGTTTAATAAATTAAGGTATCAGCCTGAAAGTCTAAAGAAAAAACAAAAACAACAACAAAAAGTAAAAGAAAAAAAAGAACAGAATCCAATAGAAAAACAAGTGTGAAAAATGCCATCAGCGTTCCGCAGGTGCACGCTGCAGGCCGTGTTACTCGCCTGTCTCTGCATGGCCATGTCGCCCTGGCGCGCCAATGCCAGCATCATTGAGAAACTCCGCGATGATTCCGATCTGTCGCAGGTAAGTCAACAAATCAACACTTACTTACACATACAAACATAGTTCCATATGTATTTTGTTAATGTACTTTTTTTACGGTTTGTTTTTTGGTTGGGGTAGCTTTACAAATTGTTTTTGCTTTTAACGTCTTTTTCGTTTATTCGTTTGTTCTTCTACTTTCTGGTTAATCATCAACGTTAGTAGTTATTGTTGTTGTTTTTTTTTTAAATTTTTTTTTTTTTTAAGTTTTTGTTTCGTTTAATGTGTTCGTGTTTTAACCCTCGTCCTCGCTATCGTCCTTGTTGTTTCTGTGAGCTCTTGCGCGCGCTCTCTCTCTCTATCTCTCTCTCTCCTGTCATTCATTATTTGCTTGCTCTTGATGTCCTCCAACTTTGACTTTTAGATGACTGGTGTCCTTAGTAGCCCATATGTTAGTTTAAAAACACATACACACACACACACAGATATACATTCATACATAGATATATATACACCTTGAAATGCTGTTATTTGCACAAATTTTGTTAATAGCTGGAATATAGTCCTGCTTGCTCAACTTTTATTACCCTTTTGTGTTCTTTGTTTGTAATTCGTAATAGAGATGAGACGGATCTTCGAGTTTGCTGTCGAATATTTTTTCCCCATATCGATTTTAATTGTTATTTCCTTCTGGAGAAATATTTTCGACATATTTCGGTTATAAACATTTGAAAAAAAGACTTGAGTCTGGCTGAATTCACCGTTTAGTCAAATAAATTCATCGAAAATGCCGTAAAACCTACTGAATCGCATCTGAGTTCAAAAAGTTAAAGCCCACCTCCTTCCCTACCTTAATTATCTAAATAGCGAATCATACACTGTTCAAATAGCGAGTTTGCCTTTGCCGTGACCTGGTGTGATCAATATCCAAAACGTATAGAAAATTAATTTAAATAAAAAATTTTAAAATTTTAAATAAATTTTTATAGATGCGGTTGTTCCTCGACAGGGAATGAAAAACCGTCCGAGTGTATTTTTGAGATGAAAAAAAAGTTCCCTATAAAAAACATCGGCCTTTCGGAGGCGGCTTAGTGTAGTCTGTAGGCTCTAAATGTGTTAAAACAATATCAAGACAGCACAAATTGAAGAAGGAGCTCAATTGAGAATCGCACTGCACAAATTCTTTGATTATATTAAGGACTTTATTTTGAAAAACAAGGAAATCATGCTTCCTGGACCTTTTGCCTATGCTTTTGCTGTAATGATTCTGTTTTTGATATAGTAGAACATTTTACGAGTTTTCTTCGAATTCGAGATCGATCCAGACCACATGACCTAGCCAGCGCAGCCTCTAGCTCCTTGATTTGCCAAATTATATATGTCACTGCAATCAGCTGCGGTATACTAAATAAACCTGAAGCGAAACCTTTCTCTCAAAAACTCCTATCGTCGACTCATCAGCTGCCTCCGCGCCATATAGCAGAACAGGAACGCTAAGCGACCTGTAGAGTTTGGTTTTTGTTCGTTGAGAGAGCGGGACTTTACTTTTCAATTGCCTTCCCAGTCCAAAGTAGCAACTGTTGGCAAGAGTGATTCGGCGTTGGATTTCCAGACTGACATAGTTATTTGTGTTAATATTGGTTCCAAGAAAGTTATCTACGACTTCAAGTTAAGACTGCTAACAGTGAGTAGATGACTGTATGTTTGATAACAGGAGATATTTTGTCTTGCCCACGTTAACTACCAGACCCATATGCTTTGCTTCCTTCCAGTCTAAAGAAAGCAGAACTCATGACGCTTTGAATAAAATGTATTTCTTAATTTTGCCTTGAAAGTCACGGTGAAATCGAATCTATAATCACACCACCGAACCCCTTTTCGAATGTGAGCCCAAAAATATGTTTCAAAAACTCGCTTTCTCGTGTTTGTCTCGACAAAATCATCGCAGATCGATACATTCAGAACTTCCATCCCAATTTAGGTGCCGACATATCATATTTAAAGCTTCTGCTTTCACTTTAAATTTAGTTTCCGGTTTCAATTTCAGATTCTTTTGCTTACACAATATAGTTACATCCATTTCAATATATTTTTGTATGTACTTTCATGCCATCGGCGGCACTTCCCTGACCTAATTTCTATGTATGCACATTTGTGTCTGCTGGTCACAACAACAACGGCTTTCAGTATTTCTAATGGCGTTTTTATTGTCCTTGAAGTGCCGCCTGCACCTGCTATAGTATCCGAAGCTATGTATGTACACGAGTATGCAACTCATGGTGGGAGTTGCTCGCCAGCTAGCGGCAGTGCCTGTGGCAACAGCTGCTCGCTCATTCACAATTCGTCGCAGCATACCATACAGGCATCTCGACGCACGACGAGTAGATAGATTAATGAGTTGCGGTGGATTTTTTTCTTTCGCTGACGTGATTGCGCGAATACAGCGTCCTTGACCTCTCCTGTTAGTTGGGGAGCAAAGAAGAAGAAGAAAAAAGAGAAACGCACAGACAAACACACAAAAACAAAAGGTCTGCTGGGAATTAGCGTTACCGTCAAAGTGCGGTTTGGCCATTAAATATGTACTATTTTTACAGCTGTAATGCTCATATATACATATATAATTTAGGGTGTGTGTGTGTGTGTATTGGCTAGCGCGTGTACACATTTATACTTTTGCATAAAAAAATCGATAGTTACACAAAACAGTCGCCTTAATTTATTACACTGCTGCTGTTGGTTGGTTGGTTGGCCTTGTTTTATATGCCTGCTGGCATTTATGTGCGCTTGTATGTGCTCGTATGTATTTGTCATTGTGTTCGTTTGCTTCCGTTTTAGCAGAGAGCAATAAAATTAGTGCCCCATCAGCTCACCTTAGCATATAAATACATACATACATATATGTGTACATACCTGCAAATACATATTTTTTTGTTTATTTACGTGTATATGTGAACATATTAAACATCCTGAGTGAGTAATCGATATTCTCTTTCACTTTTTTTTTACTTTCTTTCATGCTCCGCTTCAGCTCACGCTGTTGGTTGGTCGTGTGAATTTTTTGCCTTTTCTTAGCCTTCTTGACATTTGGCGATAATATCCGCTCGTCATGTAGTTCACTTAGGTGGTTGTGTGTGTGTTTGCTATATGGCTTATGTTTACGTCACCTCTGCATGTTTCGTGTTTTTTTGCATAACTCGCTATGTTCTATATACCCTTCCATGTACTATATTCACATGTATGTGCATATGTACATGTGTATGTCAATGTGAGAATCTATTTTCTTTATTTTGTGCCTAACATTCATACCAGGAAATTGTGTAATCAAAAAACCAATAGCTCACAGGTAGATTTGGATGCTGTGGACCTGTTGCTTCAATGCACTACATATACCCGTACATACATAGATGTATTTATAAATATATGGTTCTGGCAGTGAATAGAGGAATTAAGAAAATTTGCAATTTAAAAAGGTCAGCAAGATGGAAGGCCCTTTATGGGGCACATATTAAATGTTATACTTTCCTCTTCAAAAGATATTATAAAAGATACAAAGTCGTCACCACCATGCTTGATATATCTGTATATTTGTGTAGTATGTTAACTAAATATAATAAATGGAGAGACCGCCGCTGAACCGAAGAAGGATTTTTATGAGAAGCATTTATTTCATGTCAGTAACACACTCGGAAGGCTTTACATTCCCTATCGAGATGCCACCGCAATTAAAAAAAATTAGTTTCTATAATTTTGGATGTTGGTCGGACCAGCGACTCGAACCGTGGCCATCCGAATATTAGTACGCATTGCTAATCACTCGGCTTCTGCGGCCGACAGGCCAAAAGGCTTTCCGCAAATTAAACTGTGACGTAGGCACCACTTACGCAACTGTAGCCAATTGGAGACGTCAAGTGGAGACAGGTTCTTATCTATCTGATCCATCCAACAGGTACTGCTTCAAATACATTCATAGCTTTAATGTTTTCTTTCGGTTGGACGACATAACTTAGCCAGCAGGGCCGTTTTATCTTAATTCGTATATTTCTGCCGTATTTACGTCGCCGTATTTGCGTCGCCCTTCCGCAGGGGGCCATAAATTCGCTAAACCTTTCATTCGAAGACTCCGAAGCCGATTTCTTTTTGCCCTAGTCCCTATGCAGACTAAATTATCTAGAACTTCGAAGTTATGACTATCAACGATCACGTAGGAGTCAAGACATGGCAGGTTGTACCTTTTCTTTAGTACCTTTAGTTTTGCAGGTGATATTATTCTTTTGACCAGCATTAAGCTGAAGAAATCACACGAAAGAAAGCTACATTACCTGAAACCCCGTTTGGTACCGTACGGCGCGGAGAGGTTATTCCTAATTTTGACAGAGCTTTTTGTGTTGCTCAATATCAGGTAGCATAGCTGAATAAGTTTGCGAGGACACGAGACTCATATATAGCGGCAGATTCTTTCCATGTTGTCTTAGGTAGCTTTAAAATGGCACCGTTTCTTTTCTCATGGGTTTTTTCCATGATGAACACTGGGTCAATTTGAGATCTTCCAGGTGTGAATCCACACTGAACCAATATTGACGAAGCCTATCCCACGATAATTGACGCAAATGGCGACCTCCGCTTTTTTGTGGATTGGTTTGGGAGCGCCCCGACATCTAGCTTTCGGACGACTTCGAGTTCGGTGAACTGTGAAGGGTCTAGGTGATTTCATTGTGTTCTCGATAAGTACGGGCATATTCAGAGCAAATGCTCTAGCGCATCACTCGTACAGTTAGTAATGCCCAGATGGCTTTGTGCTGTCATTAATCTTACAATCTTTCTCCCTTTCCTTCTGCACGGAACCGATTGAAACCGCTCGTTTATTGCACCTCCGGTTAGATGATCTCGATAAATTTGGCTGGTATTGCCTGCTCATAAGCGGATTTGTATTTGCCACTACAACAACAACATTATATTCGGGCTCAATTTTGCCGGTTTTGAATACCTTTACACCATTTCATCACACCTCCTCCAGCTCGCCGCATTTCCATCTCTTTTTTATG